AATGATATAATTTTTTTTTGTTTTAGTATTTTGAAGTTGACCAATTGTTACTATAAGCAATTAATGATTATAGATGACCTACCATCTTATAATGCCTGCAACTATTGTAATCAAAAATTTAAAGTTGAAGATGAACACGAAGGCATAATTGTTAATATGTGTCATGCCTACCATCGTAGATGCTACGCAGAGAAAAATAATTGATGCAATTGTTGTTTAAAGTTTTATAAAAAGTGTATTTCTGTAATGTAAAATCCTGTATAAATTATATAAATAGATTAGAAAAAGATAATCTTATTAGTAACAATTTATTATCTGATGAAGATAAAGTAAATGAAGATGAAAGAATGTTGAAATGATTTAGAATCAATAAATAGTTGGTAGTAGTTTTGTGTGTATTATTAAATAAATAAATAAGAATATTATTATTAATATTAAAGGTACTTAGATCTAAAACCTTAAACTTTCATTTCTAATATATAACTTTTGATATTAAATGGTTCAATTGGTTCAAAAGAAATAAAGCTATCTGTGCACAGTCATGTGCAGGTTTTACAACATAAAAAAATCACCATTCGATTTTGTCACAAGTGATAAAATGAATGTCCTTTATACTAGCTTTTAATCTAGATAAAATAAAATCTCAACAGAAATATACATAATATAGTATTATTGATAATAAAATGAATAATAAAATATAATAATGTTTGTTGATAAAACTAACTGTAGAAAAACAAAATCAACAAAATCAAAATAGAGAAACAATAAATTTTTTTAGATCAATAATATATTATATATATATATATGTAATTAGAAAGTTTAAAATCAATATCACTACCTTTTTCAAGAATTCAAATTATCTTTTTAGGACCAAATTTGGTAATATCAACCTTTTTCTTTATTAATACGATTACATATCATAATGACATTATCTTTGAATAAATTGGTAGCTTCGGGTGTATGATTATATTCTTTCTTTAATTCACGAAGCCATTTCTCAGAAACCATATTGTTCAACTGATTATTATTATCACTATTAACATCTTTTCTTATTTCATCATCGGATTCATATTGGTATGTTGGCTTGATGTTGAAAATCTTTGGCAAAAATATTTCAAAAAAAGGTTTCAATGTAGTGACCTCCTTTGATTTTCTTAACAGTTTCAAATGAGAAATTTCAAATGGTATATGGTGTTTGCAATATGAGGCATAGATTGACAGAATCTTTTCATATGCGTCATCTCTAATACTTGTGATTTTCCCCCCAGGGTGGTGTTGCATTTCCATATCCGCCCACACTTTAGACAAAATAATATCATGGAAGCATAAATTTGTAACTATTGAATTTTGATTAAATTTTTTTAATACCCATTCATAAAAGGAGCTTCTTAGAGTAAGAGTCCTTATACAATTTATTGGATTATCAATATCTGAATTTATAATCTTTTTGAAATTATCATATAATAAGCTTTGGTAATTATTTAACATGATGGTAAAATAATCATCATTATCTTCTTCCTTTATAAATGAATTAAAGCCACGAACAAATGAAAGATTACTATCATTATTGTCTTTTGGAACGAAATAATCTCCAGTGTCTTGATGAATGAAATAATTGTTGCCAACGGGGTTTTGATAAATTGTATTTTTTATATTGTTGCTAGATGACGAAGATGATAAGAATGATGGTTGTGAATCTTCTATTTTTTTAGGTAGCTTTACTTGTCCACTTATACTGACATAATTTTCTCTAAAATTCGGTTTAGATTGAATAATTGAAATCTCCAAATTGTCAAATCCTTTTTTAGTTTCTGTATCAAAAAAATGATAAATGATTGTTTTCAAAAATATAAATTCTAATTCAGATCCATTTCTACCATGACTCAAAAAGTCCAAAACCTTATAATCATTTTTCACTTCTCTGTCAACTTGAGTGATTTCAATCAAGCATTTTTGAATTATGACATACTTTGGCTCTTTTCTAACTTCACAAAAAGATTCTATCAAAACAGAATCACCAATTATATCAAGACGACTTTTGCAAAAACATAAACTGTTGACCATTGCAGCTCTTGTTAATTTGAATCCAATACCAATGAGACTATTCAATTGGTTTACAACTATTTTTTTATTTGGATCATGCCAATCAACAGGAGTATTTAATGGAAAAAGTCTTAGAATGCACCCTTGGATCACCAAATCGTTAACATCTTTACAAATCTCATAGTAACCTATCTCCTTCCACATATCAACAATACTAGGTTCTAATAAAATTGCTCGTGCAATGATGTGCAGATGTCGATTATTTTCATAGCCATCATTTGCTGGAAATTTCTCCTGGTTGATTATCTGCATTGTTCTGAAATATTCATTAGTGTCTTCAAATTTAATTTTCGGTCTCGGAGGGAAGGGAGTAAATTTTTTATTGATAATAAGATCACGAATATCTTTCAAGCTTGTTTTAATCATTTGAGATGCGTGATCAATTGGCAGTTGCCCAGAGCTTAAAAAATGAAATTTTTCAATATCATTTCCTTTTAAAGCCAGATCTGCTTCAAACCTTACTTCAGCCTCATTTAATAAAGTAACAAATACTTCAAATGGTATTTCTGAAGACCATGGTGACTTTATACCTTTTTGAAAAGCTCTAAATTTTTCTTGATTTATTTCTTGAGAGTTGTTACTATCTTGTAATTTTAATTTAATCAAATCTTTATCACATTGACCATATTGTAGTAATAATCTTTGAATAAAATATCTAGATAAATTTGCTTTTAACGCTAATAATGATTTTACAACATCAACTGTAATGAAAGTTTTCCCTAGTAAAATGGAAAAGAATAATACATGAATCCTTCCAAAGTTATTCAAAGCCCATAAAGATTTTGCTACGGGACTAGTGAAAAGTTGACAAAATTCTTTATTAACAAGAATCATTGAAATAGGAATTTCAATACGCTTGAAGATTTCAATAAGCAGCTCTCGAGGCAAGTTGTTCATTGCGGAAAATCTAAAAAAAATCTGTGTAACCTTTTTTTTTTTTTTTTTTAAGCTCTTGTCCGTTTTTAACGGACAAGAGCTTAAAAAAACAACATTTTATATAAAAAAAACTCTTAAAGGAAATCTAGAATAACCATGTTTTCTTTTCCAATAGGGCAATACAAAAAACGCCAAAGGGGGAATATGGGATTTTATTATTATTATTCGCTGTAACGCGATTTATACAACAACTAAATCATTCTACCCCAATAATTATTCTGATGCATGAACCTATGAATCTATATGAATTTACGATTTCACACACGTGTTTACCTCCATATTTCAGTAAACAACGGATGCATGGGGACATATAAAAGAGTTTCATTTAAAATTTGTTATTCCAAATTACTATATTAATATAATACCAATGCCGCAAAGATCCATGCGTCAAATAATACGCGATTAATGTACAACAAATAGCCTGAAGTCCCAATGTATGTATTATCCTAAAAAGGAAACCGGATTAAAAAAATTTGAAATATTAATATTTCTAAAAGATTAGATAAAAATGGTCTCGAAACATTTTAATTTTTATTCAATCCTTAATAATGTCAGAAAGAAAAAATTATAAGTTTAAATAATTTCTTTAAATTATAAAGTTTCAAATATTTTTTTTTTTTAGTACAAGCCCCTAAAAATAGATAAAGTTAGCCTCTCCATTGTTAAAATAAAATTGCTTCTCTTAATAATAATAATAATAATAATAATTTCCGAATCCGAAATGCTGAAATGGGTTCAATCAAAAATAGATCAAACAGCTATGTTCATTCATATAAAGAATTGTTGAGATCTAAAATGTTACACTAAATTTTTATATTGTGCAACGTAGCTTTACAATACACGGCAAACATTCTGGCAATAAACAGTAAGTGATAAATTGGATCTCCAATTTAGATAGATAACAATTATATACTGGTGAAGTTTCAGGAGCAATGGGTTCTGTATATCCACTATGCTAATCCGAAATATTTGGCAATCGCAAAAACTGTTTCGATTTTATTTATTGATTTGTGGGGAAACACATGATATCTGGTATGCTCTAGTAAAATATATTATTATTATAACATCGTCGTTGTTTTTACTAATTCCAAAAATTCTTAATTCTACTTGTTATTGCTTGAATCACAAAGTCAACCAAATTCTTTTGTTCTTGATGTGTCAAACTATATTAGTTTTCATCAAATGACTTTTGACACTTGGATAAAACGCTTGGAGGTTTTGATATTTGACTATACCAACATAAGGATCCATCAAGTATTATATCGGATTGTCCCTTACTGTCAACTGTATGTGTCTTATGAAAATAGCAAGAAATATATTTAATAACAATTAAAAATTTTATTCCCTTAAACGTACAAGAATTGCGTGCAATTTTTGAAAAAAATGTAAACAAATAAATTATTAATTGACCAATATTTTTGAGATTTTTTAATAGAAAAAAGTTATGGTTTTGTGTACAAACGTTCATTAAATAAATTATTATTATTTTACAGAAGTATTATCAATAACGAAATAAAATGTATTTTTCAAAAAACCTCAAAAATTAATTTTTTTAAAAGTTGCAATTATTTAGTAAAAAATTTTATTCTTCGAAACCAGTTCCAAACCCGTATTATATGTGATAATACATGTTCTAATTCTCTAATTTAATTAGAAGAAGTAACATGATTTAGATATAAAGTATTTTTTTATGCATTCCGTGTAACAAATAAATAATTAATAATTTTTTTTATTATATATAATTGAATGAAACAAATAACGTTCAATTATCTTTATGATAATCTAAAAAAACAATTTCTAGTTGAGGAGCAACATAAAGCAACATTACATGTACTACAATAAATAAAAGAACGACTTTCAGACCTTTTAGACTTTCCTTCTCTTCCCATTCTTCTTCCACGGCTGCTTCTTGTTTTAGTCCCACTTCTAACTCTTCTTTTAAAAGTTGAGTCTTCCATTATTTCGTCTCACCATCCTCATCAACAAACGTTCATTAAATAAATTATTATTATTTTACAGAAGTATTATCAATAACGAAATAAAATGTATTTTTCAAAAAACCTCAAAAATTAATTTTTTTAAAAGTTGCAATTATTTAGTAAAAAATTTTATTCTTCGAAACCAGTTCCAAACCCGTATTATATGTGATAATACATGTTCTAATTCTCTAATTTAATTAGAAGAAGTAACATGATTTAGATATAAAGTATTTTTTTATGCATTCCGTGTAACAAATAAATAATTAATAATTTTTTTTATTATATATAATTGAATGAAACAAATAACGTTCAATTATCTTTATGATAATCTAAAAAAACAATTTCTAGTTGAGGAGCAACATAAAGCAACATTACATGTACTACAATAAATAAAAGAACGACTTTCAGACCTTTTAGACTTTCCTTCTCTTCCCATTCTTCTTCCACGGCTGCTTCTTGTTTTAAACTCTTCTATTGAAAGTTGAGTCTTCCATTATTTCGTCCTCACCATCCTCATCTTCTTCTTCATCATTGTTTACTTCTGAATCACTAGAACTTTCAATTAATTCATCATTATAAATTCCAGTCACCTTGTCAAAAATTGGTTCATTATCTTCGGAAATATCCGTAGTTTGTTCTTGGGTTTCAATCGGATTCATTTTAGTTTCTTTATGAAAATTTGAGTAATTTTGTTGAATATTTGACTATTTTCAAAAATGATTATTTTCAAAAAATGATTAAAATTAAATTTTACTTATTTGAAGGCGCCTCATACTTTTGCAAATTTATAGGAAATTTGGGTCAAGCTTTTTCATTTAAAAAAAGATTTTGTGTTGAATTTCGAAATTTCGGAATTTTTGTGGGTTTTGGAAAATTTATGGTACACATTTTCCATGAGTCAAATTGTGCCGATGAATAAGAATGGTTTCCATGCTACACTCGAGATCAAATTGAAAACTTTTATTCGTGATAAAAACTTTGAATTGTAAATTGCGTGCTGATCGGCACGCAATTTCGTTTAATTCGTGATCCATGATAGAAGTGCATACTGCGTCACGTTTTCTGAAATCCAGGATTGCTAAGTAGCAGTCAAAAACTTGTAAAGAAAACAATAATAAAAAATATGTCAAAATAATGGTTGAGATTTTTTGCATCATATGGGGCGTGGACAATAGAAACGGACCATGTTGTGAAAAAAGTAATTTTGAGTTAGTATCACTATTATATGTAATTCCTCATGAAGAACATTTTTGGCTTAGAACCATACCCACTTTGCTTAATAAAACTTTGAGATACCCTCCATTAAAGTTTTAAAAACAATAGTAAATTACTTGAAATGCAGATCTTTTTTTAAATTTTCTCAAAACATCATTTTCACAACATGGTCCATTTCTATTGTCCAGACCCCATATAATGTATATATATATATATATTTGAATGTGACACATACCGTAACTGGACAATCAAATTCTGCACCTTCAGATTTTCCAATCCAATTTCTTTGCATTTGTTTAACATGTTCTGGCCAATCATTCAACAAATCAAGATCATTCAATAATGACTGATTATATATATAAATATTATTTTATACATAATAATATGTAGATTAATATGAATTAATATAGATTTTTGATTTAAAAAAAAAAACAAAGATATACACATATAGATTAAAAATAAATTAAAATAAAAAACCTCAGTGAAATCAGTGATTTTGATAAACCATTGCTTTAGCTTACGATGCTCCACTTTTGCTCCAGATCTCCAAGAAAATCCATTAGAATCTACCTGGGTGGGTTTTTAGACCTAATATAAATAATTGAATATTATACCGAAATGATCATATTTAAAAAGTATATATTTTTTTGCGATAATTTATTTAATACCTGTTCATTTGCCAAAACTGTTTGATCAATTGGATCCCAATTCACTATAGCTTCTTTTTGGTAAGCCAAATTGGCTTTATATATTTGAAGAAAGAGGTATTGCGTCCATTTATAATAATCTTTATTACAAGTAGTTACTTCCTATAATTAATCCATTAATGAATATTTACTTATTTATTAAATTGATCAATTATTAAACATATAAATATTTTAATAAACCCAACCCTTTCCCAATCAAAATCAGCAAGGATTTTTCCTAGTTGAGATTTCATAGTTTCAATATTACTGATAGTCCATTCTGCAGGATTAATTCCGCGTTCAATTGCAGCATTTTCTGCTGGAAGACCAAATGCGTCCCATCCCATTGGGTGAATCACCTTTACTCATCAACAAAAGGATTATTAATATACAATAACATTACAAGTAAAGCATGCAAGTATAAATATTTTATTTATTTATTTATTTATTTATTATAAATACCTCATATCCTAGCATTTTTTTAAACCTTGCAATAGTATCACTAATAGTATAAACTCTCACATGACCCATATGTAACATACCACTAGGATATGGAAACATTCCTAACACGTAAAATTTTTCTTTTTTCTCATTTTTTTGCTCTTTACTGCTACTATTAGTTACATCATTACTTTTCATTTCTTTCCATCGATTTATCCATTTTTGTTCTATTTCCTTTAAATTAAAACTCTTTGTCAAAGAAGAATAACGATAGTAGTTATTATGCTTCTTATGATATCTGATGAGTACATCAAAAAATTTATTTGCAAATATAAAGTTATTATTATTATTATTGCTACTATTATTAGATACACGTTGAAAATTTCTCAAAATCATTTTTTTATTTTTTTTATTATTGATTATCAAATCACCAGATTAATATCATGATAATAGGTTCGTCTTCTCGTGTTACCATTAGTTCAGACGCCGCCGTGTCACTAATTTAATTCATTTTCTTTACTTTTTTGAACTTTATATTTTTCATCTCAGTAGAATAAAATTTTTTATTTTTCTGAAAACATATTTTATAACGCTCTTTGCAAAAATTTAATTTATTTAATTAGAATATTATTTTTTCGTGACTTGTTTGTTCTTTCAGTCATAATCATCGCAAACCTTTTCGTAAATATTTATATAAAAGATGGCACATGTAAGTATATTATAACATTAACAACTGTTCAAAGGCTTTTTTAAAAAGAAAAACATAGATTGATCATTTTGTTTAATTGATAAAATGTAGCGAATGGGTGGACGGAAAAAGAACAATAAAAAAGGATTCCAATTCACTCTTATGGTTGTTGGTAAGCATTAATGAAAGTTATGCACATCTATCTACACATATATAACACATCCCACTCGACAAATTAAATTTGTATTTAATTTTATGTGACCTAATTTATTATCTGTTCTAGGCAAAAAAATAAATTATCTTTATATTAATTATATTAATAAATATTATTTGAAATGTAGATCTTGTCATTATTAACAATCAAATTAAATAACTACTACTATTATTATTATAATTGAATTAGGCGCATCTGGTACTGGCCGTACAACGTTTGTTAATACACTTTGTAGTAGTGAAGTATTAAAAGCAAAATTATGTGATTCACCTGAAACTGCCCATGTCGAAGAAGGAATTCGTATTAAACCAGTTACAGTTGGTAATTAATTAATAAATCATTTATGATTATTAATATTAAAGGAAAAAAGTTTTTAAACTTTACACACACACACACACACACATATAGAATTGGAAGAAGATGGTGTAAGAATTGCTTTGACAATTGTAGATACACCAGGATTTGGAGACAATATTGATAATGAATTTTGGTGAGATTTTATTTTAAATATAATACTATATATATTTTGATGTATATTAATGATATATAAATATATTTATATTTATCAATTAGTTTTCAAGAAATAATGGGTTATCTGGAAAGACAATATGATGATATCCTTGCCGAAGAATCTAGAATTAAACGTAACCCAAGATTTAGAGACAATAGAGTTCATGCGCTTCTTTATTTCATCACACCCACAGGTCATTCGTAAGTAATATGTTTCATTTATTAAGATTTTATTTAATTAAAAAAAAATTTTTCCTTAAAAAAAAATTTTTAAATAAATAATAGTCTTCGAGAAATTGATATTGAACTTATGAAAAGACTCAGTCCACGTGTCAATGTCATCCCAGTTATTGGTAAATCTGATACTTGTACACCAGCTGAATTATCAGATTTCAAGAAAAGGGTATGTATTATAAATATATTGAAAATATTGTTTTTTAAAAAAGCCGTTAAAAAGTTTATTATTTTTATTGATAATGATAGATAATGGAAGATATTGATCATTATAGCATTCCTATTTATAATTTTCCTTTTGATTTTGAAGAAGATGATGAAGATACAATCGAAGAAAATAGTGAACTACGGGTATGGGTTTTTAATTATTATGATTTAATGTATTTAAACAAAATAACCCTTTTTTTCCTATTGAGCAAATATATTTACAATTATATTTACATTTATTAAAAGGCACTTTTACCGTTTGCAATTATTGGGAGCGAAGAAGAAATTATTGTTAATGGAAAACCAGTTCGTGGAAGACAATATCCTTGGGGTGTTGTTGAAGGTATAAATCAATCCATTACAATCAATAACAAATGTTTCTTTTTAATAATAATATGAATGAATACCTTTAATTTTCATATTAAAAAAAAATAGTTGATAATCCACAGCATTCAGATTTTGCAAGGTTGAGATCAGCTTTATTGAGGTAAGTATTATACCATGTGTTTTTCTATTATTATCTTTAAATTCATAATAAGACTTTATATTTTTTTTTTGTTATAAAATAGTTCTCATTTACAAGATTTGAAAGAAATCACACATGACTTTTTATATGAAAATTATCGTACCGAAAAACTTAGTCGAAGTGAAGACAACTCTGAAGACGAGTAAGTTAAACAATATGCTCGATTTGTTTGAGAAATGGAAATGTTACAATTATAATCATAACAATAATAATAATTCTAAATTTAATATTATATAGAGAACAAAGTAGCAATTTACCTGACGATCTTGCTACTCAAACTGTACGTTTGAAAGAAGAACAATTGAAACGTGAAGAAGAGAAGGTAATAAAACTTAAATTAGAAATTTCTACAAAAAAAAAAAATTATACTAATTTTATTTGTATCAATTAATTTAGTTGAGAGAAATTGAATTAAAAGTACAACGAGAAATCACAGAAAAGAGACAAGAACTATTAGCAAAAGAAGAAGCATTGAGAGATTTGGAAGCTCGTTTGGCTCAAGCCAAAAATGTTCTACATGAGGAATTACATATAATAGTGATACTAACTCAAAATTGCTTTTTCACAACATGGTCCGTTTCTATTGTCCACACCCCATATATTCAAAAAGGTTATTAATTATTGTTCGATTATGAGTAAATCTTTAAAAGTTATGTATTTATAACTATAATTGAGAAAATTTTTTTTAATTATTTATGAAAGTATCGATTAAGAGACTGGCTTATATCTAGACAACGATATTGGGGTACTCCGATCCCAATCATACATTGTCCGAAATGTGACGCATGTGTTAAAATTTAATTTTAAAAATTTTTTCGTTATTTTTTTTTTAATCACATAGCTAATCATGTGTGTACAACAACATTTTTTTTTTAAAAAAAAGATTGTCCCTGTTCCAGATTCCGAATTACCTATACTTTTACCACAGAATGTTTCTTTCTCTAGTCGTGGAGGATCACCTTTGAAACAAATTCATGATTGGGTTAATTGTGAATGTCCAAAGTAATATATATATATATATATATATATATATATATTACTTTATTTTATTTGACTATTAAATTTGTGATTATTGGTGTTTTTAGATGTCATGGACCTGCAAAAAGAGATACAGACACCATGGACACTTTTGTTGATTCATCTTGGTATTTTTTACGTTATATCGATCCTAAAAATTCTACTCTGTAAGTTTTGTTCATCATCATTATTTTATAATAATTAGAATGATTGTAATTATCAAAAATACTAACCAATTTATTGAAACAGTCCTTTTTCTTTTGAGGAAGCATCTAAATATCTCCCTGTTGATATTTATGTTGGTGGAGTGGAACATGCAATTTTACATCTTCTTTATTCCAGATTCTTCACAAAATTTTTAATACAACAAGGAATGTACATTTCAAAAAATCAATCAAATTCTTCTAATTTTAATGAACCATTCAAACGATTAATTACACAGGTGATATATATATATATATATATAAACATATCATTAAAAAATTATTATTTCAATAATAATATTCGTTGCACTTTATTTAAAAAACCATGTTATTTAATTATTAGGGAATGGTTCATGGAAAAACTTTTAAAGATCCAGTTTCTGGTCGATTTTTAAAACCTGAAGAAGTTGATACGACAGGTAAATCATGATAAAAATTAAACATTTTATATTTAAATAATCATTATAATTATTGCATTTATTTTTTATTATTTTATTTTTGTTTAAAAAAAAGACCCTAATAATCCTATACAAAAATCAACCGGTCTTGTACCAATTGTATCTTTTGAAAAAATGTCAAAAAGTAAATATAATGGTATAAACCCGGAGGTAAGTATTATTGTTTCGTTTAAAATTAAAAACTATTTTTTTAAAATTCACATATATATATATTTTAGGCAATAATAGATATTTATGGTGCAGATGCAATACGTTTATATATGCTATTTAAAGCACCAGTATCAGAAGTTTTAGAATGGGACGATTCAAGTGTTGTGGGAATGCAAAGATGGATTGTGCGTGTATGGAAGTTGGTTTGTAGTATTACTACTGAAAAAAATATTGAATTATCTAAAAATGATGATGATGATGAAGGAATTATTAAATTGGATATTTTGAAAATGAATAATAATGAAAAAGATACTTATCGGTTTATCAATAATACAATCAGAGAGGTTTTTTCAATTTGAGACTTTGTCATGTGATATTATTGTTACACACACATATATAATTAAATTATATCTTCAAAAAAAAATTTATATATAAATATTAGGTTACACGTGCCTATGATGATATTTTTTCTTTTAATACAGGAGTTTCTTCTTTAATTAAATTGACAAACCACCTTTCAAGTGTTTCGCCAAGTCTAAACAAACAAGATCAACCTTCATCAACATCAGCATCAACAGATATTTCACCTGTTTATGTTTATGGAATAAAAACTTTGATAAAGATGATGGCACCAATGGCACCTGCTATAGGAGAAGAATTCTGGGAAAAAATAAATAATCAACATGATGATGATAATAATAGACATAGAGGGCAAAAACAAACAATATTTAAAGAATCCTGGCCTGTTGTTGATATTGAAGGATTGAATGTGGATGAATTTACTTGTGTTGTGCAGGTAAAAAAAATTTATTGAACAAAATGAACATAAATATATGTATGTATGTATGTATGTATTATATGTATTGAATATATTTTCCTTCCCTCCTCCCTCAATAGATTAATGGTAAAACAAGATTTTCTATACTAGTTCCTTCAGCATTATTAAACAATAATTCATCAATTGAAAAGTTGATTCAGGAATCTGAAAATGGTCAAAAATGGTTTAATCATATTATGTTGGGCAAAAAAATTAAACGTATAATCCATGCAAATAATGGTAAAATTATTAATTTTGTATTTAACATTTAAAAAAATGTGGTAAAATTTTGCAATTTGTTGTTTGTGTTAGATATAAAATAAATCATGACATCTTGCCAATCAATTCAAAAAAATTTTTATTCTTAACTTTAATTGGGATCATACATACTATGCAGAAATTTTTTTGAATCACATTGAGCACATGATTGGTAAAGTTAATCTTTCCAAATTTCATAATAAAAAATGTTCTTTTAAAGAGAAGAATCTTTAACACCAGAATTCCATGACTTTGACTGATGATTAAAACATTGTAATTTTAAGGCTCCGAACAGATTAGAACAAAAACCAGATTAGATCAGATCTGATCTTATTAAATTGCAATCTGTTTTGAATCAGATGAAGTAGAAATCATAATTTCTTTCATAAATGATTTTTTGAAGCTGGGTCACATGTTCAAAACACGATTGCAATAAAATCCCGTTTTAAAATAAAGTATTGGTAAATTTTTTTCATCATCACACCACCATTTTAATGGCTCATTTTCTAAAATTGCTTCAAATATTACTATACTATTATTATTATTATTACTATTGCTATTATTATTGTTGTTATTATCAGTCATTACTACTGCCACTGTTAATTTATTTAACAATTTTTTTTCGATTTTTCGATTAAATCGATTATAAAATTTTGTCAATCTCTCTTAATATTAATCGATTGTGGGGCACATAATCGATTTTTGTATTCATCAAACTTGCATTTTATCAAAGTTCATTTAGTGACAACATCCTAAAAGAAAATAAAAATAATTGATAATGAAAAAATTTAAATTATTATTATTAATGCCCAAATTATAATTATATTAGCGTTAATATCGTTTGTTATTATTGTACATTACATACTTTTGATCACAAATTTTTCAAGATATTACGAATATCCTCATAAATCGGTCCAGAAATACGTTTTATTCCTCCTTTGCATGCAAGCCACCTGATAGCCGGCCTGGTGATTCCTTTAACAGTTTCACTATAATGACATTTAGTTCTTCTTTTCTTACCTTTTATCACATTATCATTAATAACGATAAAAAATAAGATGAGGTGTTATATCATCAGCAAATGTTTTAACCCGAGATAACTTGTAATTATAACATTTCCCCCTCCACTCACAATTTTAAAGTCTGACTTTTCACCTCGAAGGGTTTTCTTTGTTGTTAGAACTGTTAGACCGTCGATTTTTCATGCATTTTGTGCTTAGCAATAAACTGTAAAATCATTTCATTAAATGTCATGCAAATTATGATTTATAATTGGTACAAAACTTACAAATTTCGAAAAATAATTTGAATTTGTCTTTATCTTGATCAGTCAACCCTGTGATCTTGGAAAAGTTATTGCACCATGTATCTTGAATAAGATTTAATGGTGTAAAGGAATTTAACATCTAGAGTTAAAAAGAAAAATATTTAATTTCCATTTCTTGTAATCTAGCTCCAAGTCTAAAAGAAGAATGTAAAAACTTACAGAAGAATATTCAAGAGCTATATTAGTTATCGCTGGTGGCAAACTTGGTGGTAATTTTCTTCGATAGATTTACCATTATTATTCTCTATATTATCAAGCATAAATTTATTGGTATCAATGTTGCCTATAGTGTTAGAAGAGCCACTAGCAGCTATGATAATGATGGAAAGTCAGGTAATATGTTTTCGTATTCTGATTCTGGAATTAGCGTTTGATCATAATCATATTTTCAAAAATATTGGATATTTCTTCTAGAGAGTTTTTCAAAGAACATTTAACAGTTCTATTGTCTCGTTTTCTATCTCTATGATTTCATTTATTTTTTCTAATGACATATTACGACTTGCATCCAATTCTAGTATTGCAGGTTTTCTCTTTTGGTAAAGGAGACATTTTTTAAAAAAGAAATTAGAATGACGAATTGCAATACATCGCAACCACCACCACCATTATTTCTAAGTAACTAATGATAACACTTATTCGCCTCTTAGGTCTCGATCGGCAAAAATACAATATTACGCGTTTATATATACAACCTATTGGTTTTTTGTTGACGCAATTTAAAAAAAATTTTTTTTTTATTATTTTGGAAAACAATCGAGTCCAAGATGACAAACGTGAATGTTGTTTGGTTGGTTTTAAAGACGTGGTTTTGTTGTTAGCAAGAGGTATACATTTTACTCTCTCTATAATAATAACGGATCTTTCTATAACGGATTTTTCTCTATAACGGTCATGCCACCTTGACATCTTATAATTGTTTATTATTATTTAATATTAATATTAGTA